CCCTAGCATGCTAGCTTGAATAAAGCCCGCCTGCTTTTGCATTATCTTTGTCTCTTGGTCTCCTTATTGGGTGGTGGTCTCGGACCCTAACACCTCAAGGTCAACTGTTTGAAACTACCAGCTGTTCTGTGGGAGAAAGATGAGACACTCTGCTCCCATAAAGATTTACAGCCTCAGAAACCCTATGCAGGGTCACTATGAGTCAGAACCGACTCCATGGCACACCACCAACCACCACTGTTAAAGATCAGACTTATGTGTGGATTGTACCTCAATGTAAAGAAAACAAAAATGCTCACAATTGGATCAATAAATATTATGAGAAACTGAGAAAAGATTAAAGTTGTCAAAGATTTGATTTTACGTGAATCCACAATTAACACTTATGTAAGCAGCAGTCAAGAACTCAAACGACGCATTGCATTAGGAAAATCTGCTGCAAAAGATCTTTCTAACATGTTAAAAAGCAAAGATAGCAGTTTGAGGACTAAAGTGCTGCTGGACCAACCCATGATATTTTCAATCTCCTCATATGCATGCAAACACTGGAAAATGAATAAGGAAAACTAAAAAATTGATGCATTTGAATTAAAATGCTAAAGAGGAGTATTGAATACACTGTGGACTGCCAGAGGAACAAATCTGTCTTGAAAGAAGTACAACCAGAATGTTCCTTGGAAGATATCATGGCGTGGGACCGCAATCACTGAGATGTTGAGGCCCTGTGTCACGGACGAAAATCCAACACGGTGGCTCCACTCAGAATTGCTAGCCAGGGACCCTGAGGGCCAAAGGAAGTGACCTCCTGATGTCCCGGGTTCACAGGCTTTTACGAACTCACTGCTGGGCTACCTCTGTATAATTTTCTTTGGTCTTATTATTCATTCTATGCTGCTAACTCCAATAACTTTAGCTTCTGAGAAAATGGTTTCTTATGTGCCTCTCTTAATGTCTCCACTGTGTTGGCAGTGCGTAGGGTCCTAGGAACAAATCTCTCTGAGGAACAAACTCTGGCCACCTGGCAAGCATGGTAAAACTGTTCTTTATCAAGTTATTCAGTTATGTTTGATATTAACTTAATACATGAGCCCTTGATACCCATGGACAAATATTAAAACAAAAGCCTCTTCTAAAGCCAAGGCTGTAAAAGTTCCAAAGGCAAGTTTGCAAGGGGGCTCTGGAGACAGTCTGCCCAAGGAATTCACTCAAAGTAGATTGGCGAATTCCGGAGTATTGTTCAAGGAATAATAGTGTCAGCCCTTCTAATCTTCCCCAGGTGTCTCTCTTCATCCTGAAGGCTTGAGCCAGGTAGCTGAAACAGCTGGACTCCTTCCCGACCTTTTGAATCCTTTTCTCACCTTTGCCCATTGGAGATTAGGTGCTATAGGTATGTTAATTAGTCTTGAGAAACCTCGAGTTGCTGCCTTGGGATCTGAACCTAAAAAGTAATTTATAACAATTTGCTTGAATTTCTGGAAAATTAAGGATGTTAGATTATTAAGACAATTTGCGATGTATGTTTTAGAATTTGTTCCTGTAAATCATTGTGTCCTGTTTTGAACGATTAATCACATTTCATTTCTGTACCCTGTCTTAATAATCCCCTTCTTCCTTTGTGTAAAATCCCTCCCTGAAATAAAAGAAGAGCGCAGTTTGAACCTTGTGTGCATTACTGCCTGCAGGAGCCATAATGCCTGCAGTCCAGGGTCTGCCCACCAGTCTTGCATCCACTCTAGTTTTGGGGTGTTTCTTTGTCTCTCTCTTAGCGTCTTTGTGTGTCTTCTTTATCTATCTCTTTAGCCACCAACAATCCCTACTTCGTGAACCAAACTTCCCCGTTGAGGCCGGTCCCCGACAATGGCGAGACTTCATTTTCATACTTTGGACATGTTCAGCAAGAAGCAGTTCTTGGAGAAGAACATCATGTTTGGTAAAGTGGAGGGTCAACAAAAAAGAGGAAGGTCCTCTGAGATGGACTGACACAGTGGCAGCATAAGGGAACTCAGACATAACAATTGTGAAGATGGCACAGGACTAGGAGGTGTTTTGTTCTGTTGTACATAGCATCGCTATGACTCAGAAAAAAATCAATGGTACCTAACAACAACAACAATCAACCATCAACAAATTATTTCTTAATTGCCCAGTTTTCCAAGTACTATGAATGTAACTTTATTCCTTCTACCAACGTCCAGATCATAAACTCCAGATCCTAGCCCTCACGTAGTCTTGGAAAATTATCCTACTTCATGATACACAGAATCACAAGCACATAGGCCTGGTATGTAGGATAAGCATTGGACTGCTAACCACAAGCTCAACGTATCAAAGCCACCAGCAGCCACTTCTCGGAAACCCTATACAGGGTCTCTATGAGTCAGAACTGACTCAATAGCACTTAACAACAGCAACATGTGAGTAGAAGATGAACATTCCTTAAGTGTCAGGCATTATGTTAGGCACTAAGGCTACAACTGAGAGAATGGATGTAGCTAAGCATCTTGAAGGCATTATTATCCTGGGAAGGACACTAAATAAACAACGAGAGAAATAAAAGAAAATATCTTTAAGTATTATTCAAATTACAAGGAAAATAAGCAAGGCATTGTGAAAGAGAATAAAAAGAGTGGTCAGGAAAGGTCTAGAAGGCCATGGTCAGGCCCAGCACACATACACTGAAACCTGTAAGGCTGGATGCCCATCAAGGAGTAGCACAGCTAGAAATTATGAATGTAGTATCTAGGTTTAAGTGATACAGCTTAAAAGAAATTCTTTTAAGGAGACAGGAAGGCAGACCTACTTCCTTATATTTCTGTAGTCACTCAGTGCATAAAGGAGGAGGTTACTGTACCCTCAGATAATGACAGTGGGATTTGTATGAGCCCAGAACTGTACCTGGGCTCTCTGCAACCCAGCCCCTCCACCTCTGGGGACTCTCCAAATAGGAGCGTGCTGTCTTCACCTACCTTTGGTTCTGCTCAGCCTAAACCATATGGTCCCATTGGAGAGAAGGTGGTAGCAGCTAAAGTAAAGGAAGAGAAATGTGATGAGAAACTGAAAAAAATGGAGCAGAACAAGACAGCAGCCACTAAATATCGCCAGAAGAAGAGGGCAGAGCAGGAGGTCCTGGCTGGGGAGTGTAAAGAACTAGAAAAGAAGAATGAGGCTCTGAAAGAGAAGGCAGACTCCCTGGCCAAGGAGATCCACTATCTGAAAGACTTGATAGAGGAGGTCCGCAGGGCCAGGGAAAAGAAATAGGGACCCTAGTCGTGTACTTAGGAGTGTGCTTGTACATAGGCTTGTGCTGCAGCAATGTTGTAATAAGTTATTTTGTAGTCAAAGTAAAAAAAAAAAAAAAATTCTTTTAAAAAGGCAAATCCTCATGAGTTGACCAAATCTCACAATTACCTAAAAAGGGTCAAAAGCCAAAAGAAAAAGAAAAAAGAACTGACCATAAGTTGGATCTAATGTTAGCTGAAGGGTGTTTCACACCTTTGAGTGAAAGTGGTGGTGGTTGTGTGCCATTGAGTTGGTTCTAACTCATAGAGACCCTGTATAGGGTTTCTTTATGGGAGCAGAAAGTCACATCTTTCTCCAACAGAGTGACTGATAGATTTGAAAAGCTGATCTTGCAGTTAACAGACCAGCTCATAATCCACTCTACTGCCAAGATTCCTTGAACTTTGAGTGGTCCTCTGTGAAAATCATGGGAGGTATCAGCAATCTGCATCCAACCCCATCAATGTACTATTAAACTCATAGGTGTCTTTGCATTGCTGCTTTTCTCGTTCACTGTGAATTCAAAGACAAACTAACTGCTTGAAGACAGAGGATGCTTTGAGCCAATTATCATGTTTGAAGGAGTCTTTGTGAACTGGCCCATCTCAGACAATCTCTCTGGGGGTGTGATATTTAAGCAGAAACCTGAAGGATGAGAAAAGGCTACATATGCAAACCTCCAAAGAAAAGAATACTGAAGGTCTGTCTCAAAAAGTAAACATTTACAAACATTGATATAAGGAAAGTATCTATTATTGTCATATATCTCCTAATACTTTTTTAAATTACCATTTCCTATTATCATCAAACCAACATCTTGTGATAAGCTGTGGAAACTGTTACCAAGGGAAGGAGAGAGGTTTATTTTTTGGATTTCTTAGGTAGGGATCTCATCTTAAAGCTTGTGAGCACTTCCTATTTTTAAGAACAGCCCAATTCATCTGAGGAATCCTATCTTGGCATCATAGATTGAAATGTACTCTTTCAAAAGTCAAATATCCACATATCACCCAAAATCACATGAATGCTATACAGAAAGCAAGGGAAAGGGAAAGGAACTCAGCTCTAACTATACCTGAATCCAAACAAAGCTATTTAAAAAATAAAAACCCTAAGACAAAAATACATGTAGAATGTGCAGAATGTCCAACATGACCCTATTAATAAATAAGAAAATGCAGAAGCTAAAAAAGCTGAAGTAGACTACAGATCTGTTTTAGTAAAAAAGATGTTTATTAAGATGGGCTTTCAGGATTATAAATTACAATTACATCTTGAGTCTTCTCTTTTTAAAGTATTTTCAAAAGAAACAAATGCCCTGATTTTGCCTTCAAAATATGTTTAATAAAAATGTTATTAAAATGTACAATGCAATTTCTAATAGTTTACTGATGAGGTGGTGGTGTGTCATGGAGTTAATTCTGACTCACAGCAAGCCTATATATGGTTTCTGAGGCTGTAAATCTTTACAGAAGCAGAAAGTATAACCTTTCTCCCATGGAGTTTCTGGTGGACTTGAGCTGCTGACCTTGTGGTTAGCAGCCCAACGCATAACCCACTATGATTCCAGGGGCCCCTTCTTTGTAGTTCACTGTTAAGAACAGAGTGAAAAATGCCGATGGAAGTAATATTGAGACATAGGCACAAATGGTTTAGTTTGTCACTCATGGTCGTGTTCAAACCCCTCCCCAGGCCCCTAAATTGACTGACTGTCAGACCTCCCAAATGTAACACCGATTTGCTCAGGGGCTGTTGAACAGTAGACACACATGACCATGAATGCCCTTATGGACCAGGTGCATGAAATCGTAGACCCCTGGTCCCCAGGCTGCCATGCTGTTCGGGGATTTATTCAGCATCTCTCTTTCATTCCAGCTACAGACTGTCTACGGTTCACCATTCTCTAACTATTTCTAATCTTTGAAATCAGCTATTGCTGCTGTTTCTAATCTCTACTGTCCTCTTGCTATTCTTCATTCATTGTTTTAAAAAGCATTGCTGGATAAGAATTATGTCTCAAGCACTATGTTAGGCACCAAGTGAACAAAACAGACATGATCTGTGATCTCATGGTACTTACACACCACAGGTGAGAGACATTCAATGAGCAAATGAACATATCGTTACAACTTTCAGTAATACAATACTATAAAAGGAAAGAACCAAGAGGAGTTCATTTAGAATTTAGGTTCAGGAAGGCCTCTCTGAGAAAATAATAATTAAATCAACATGTGAAGGATAAGCGGGAAAGAACTAAGAAAAAAGTGGAGCCAAGGCATTCAAGACATAAGCTGCTACATGAGCAAAGATCTGAGAACAAGTGACTGGCACATTTTAGGAACAGAAAGATAAGAGCACTCAATGAGAATTCATTTGGTGAGGTAACGAAACAAGTGGGAGCCAAATCCTGGCTTAGAGGTCATGTTAAGTAATTTTTAATCAGTGAATGGTATCAATTTGATCTGCTTGATTATGTTTTTAAATGATTATCCGTTCTGTATCAAATAAACTAGAAGGCAGCAAAAGTGGAAGAGAGAAGATCAATTAGGGGCACATTGCAGTAGTCCAAGTGTAATGTGGGGTTTGCTTTCTTCTCCAGTCTCTTATGACCACTCTGATTTTTTTCATTGAAAAGCCTGGCATATTAAAGATATCCCACCATCACCTTTCAGTTTGTCATACTGTGGTGGCATGTCTGTTTCTACGACCCTGGAAGATATGCCACCAGTATTTCAAAAGCCAGCAAAATCCATAATGAACACATTTCAGGGGAGTTTCCAGATTAAGACAGTCTAAGAAGACCTGGCAATCTACTTAGCCAATGAAAACCCTATGATCATAACAGAATCTTGACTGAGATAGTGCTGGAAATGAGTTCCCTAGACTGGGAGTCATTCAAAATACCCAGTGGCTGCAACAAATTAAGACGAGCATACCAAGGACAGTGAAGGTGGCATGAGACCAGGCAATGTTTTATTCTGTTGTACATGAGGTCACCACAACTGGGATCCAAAGTGACAGCAACTATTAACAAAAATTAAAGACAGTGGTATACCCTAAGAGCTCCTAGTTTTCTTCCATGTGCCAAGTCAAATACTCAGTATAAAGTTCTAGTTCTTCATAGCTGTGTTCACTGTTATGGGCAGCTCCTTTGTTATGAATGCTTAAAGTTGTTTTAAGCTTGTAAAGTTATTTCCAGATAACTAAAGCCTTTACATTCCCTTGTATTATAAGGAGCTATTTCCCTTAATTTTATTGGACAGGTATATATATTTTCTAACAGTAAGAATTTACTATTTTGGAAGTGAAAACACATTTGCCTGAATTTTATTTCAGTGATGAATCATGTTGCCTGAACATTGTTCCACAGGGGATCTTAACTTAAAACCATGAACCATTAAGAAGAGAGCATGAACTGTATAAAATAATATGTACGTACTATTCATTCCAAGATGTATTTTCAGTAGGATTCAAGAGTCAGTGAGCAAAATTAACTTTGTTTACATATACCTACCAAGCTATGCTCCATGGCTAAAGATCTAGATAAATGACTGAGATCTGGACACATAACTGAAATCAGAGTTGTCCTTGGCACTGATGAATGGGACATTAAGAGAAAGAAGCTCTTTTTCCATCAGTGTATAATACCTTGGGTTTCAGTTGCCATGTTCTCTGTCATGTGAAAAAGATCCTTCCAAAGTAAGGCCAACACATAAAGTAGTGGAAACACAGATGAAGACAGGCAGATAGACTTACGGCATCACTGAGTCCTACATTCCAGTTGCTAAGGCTCTGGTTCTTGCATCTCTTCCTCCCACTCTGGGATCAAGTATTCTTCAAGATTCTTGAACTAATAAAATTCTCTTTTCATTAAAGATTTCATTCAGTTGGATTTCTCTGTCACTTGTAACAGAATTAGTCCTGACTCATAAAATAAGCTGCAAAAATTTAAGAACCACCTCTTTAATGGAATATTCTGAAATCAGTACCAATCAAAGGCTAAAAGTTCATTCAAACTAAAATTTAACTGAAGTATGACTTCAGATGTGATCAATTAACTTAAAGACATTCCATGACTTGGAAACCTACATACATTTTACTGGATTTAGTTCTAGTGGCAGAAATTAAAGCCTAATTAGACACCTGTGAGACACTTATTAAATTATATTTACACATCCAATGTTTGCTTAATAAGTCCAATAAACCACAAGATCACTTGAGGTTACAAAGCAGATGGTGTATTTTAGGTAAATTTAAGGGAATTAGGAAGCTCTCATAAAATTAGTTAAACCAGGAAATGTCAGGAAAGACAGTAAAACGTCCATAATAGAAAGGAATCTGTGGGTCTTTTCAATTTGACTTCATTGGATAATGGTAAAAGGAAAAAAATTGGTAAATCACAGAATATAGAAACACTTGGCCTAATCAACAGTGTAAGTCTCTAGAGTATCATTCTAAATCAATGAAATCTATCATAAGATATATAATGATGACAAGAAGCACCTATGAGCAAATGGGGGGGGGGGGAGAACCACTCAGAACCGTTATCTGAACTATACTAAAAGTGCATTTAACACAAGAATGGTATAAGTCGTTTTAACTTCAGTAGCACTTGTAATAAATAAAATTTATCTTTCCTTCTTCATACTAGAGAGTCATACCATTCCAGTAACCTCACAAACCTACACAACAAATAGTTTTGAAAATCTTAGACCACACCAATACTTTATTACAGATTCACACCTGCAGGCTTTTAGCATTAGTTAGACCATTCAAAGATTATAATTATTGAGTTCAATGACTAGTCAGTGTCTACAATGTGCAGTGTAAATTCAATTTTCAGTCAGAGAAATAATAATAGTATGAAATCTCAATGAGGCTAGGGATGCTTCAGACAAATACATTTCACCAATCATATAGTTTTAAGAAATAAACTGATGACTCATTCCCTCCAGGTGTTTGGTTACGACTAAGAAGCT